GAGGCTTGGGCCAGCACGTTCGTGGGCCATGGGTAGCGCCGGGCCGCGCGCGGCAGAGCCCGCCACCAGCCGGCCATCCCGCGCCGTGGGTTTCGGCGAGCGACAGGCGCGCAGGCTTCCTGGACCACGCCGGCGCCTCCCCGGCCCGGCTCTGCTCCGCCGCCGCCAACCTCCACCTGCCTTCTCCAGATCTCGAGAGCGATTGGGGGCCCCGGACCACACCCAGCCCGCGCCGTCCAATCCGGTGTCCACAGCCATCGTGGGGGCTGATCAGTTGCAACGCGCCCGGTCTATTTAACTGCATGGGTGCATTCGCATAAAATACCCAGAAGGGGCAGATCCGCAGCTGCAGGACATAGGGTAGATTGTCAGTGGCTGAGCGATGCGGAAGGAACAAGTGACTGCTAACGGCATGGAGCTCTTTTTTGGACTGCTGAAAACGTTACCTAATCAAACAGTGGCGATGAGTGAAGACGTGGTGAATATGCTAAAATCCACTGAATTGTACTCTGTTAAACGGTAAACTTCATGACACGTGCCTTATTTCTCAAATATATAAATTTTTAAAAATGAAACAATAGTAAAATGTAGTTACCAATTTGGCAATGTATTTTAAATGTAGGCATGCAAAGAATTCGCGTTTTAGATACACCCAGAACTCTTCCTTTGTGAAATTTCTTTTGGCGAGAATGTCAAAGCTGAAATTAGAAGCCTGTCGGGCCAGCAGGTGGCATGGTGGTTAAGACAGTGGACTCCCACATGGTCCGCCGCAGGGTATTGCAGCTTGCAAATCAGATGGCCAACCTGTGCCTGTGTGTGCCCAAAATTCCAAAAGGGAATGGAGGAGAAGGGATTGCAACCTGGCCACCCCCTTTGGGGGGATTTCTTACTTTCCCTCTCTCGGTGTCTCTCAGCATATCTCTGGCGAGCACAAGGACCCTATGACAAAAACCTTAAAAAAAAAAGAAGAAAATAGAAGGCGTTCGTGAATGTGAGACAGGGCCAATGTGCCTACTGGCTTCTCCTTAGTTTGTATGGTAGGAAGCATTGTTTCCCCAAACAAATGCTGAGTTCTCAGGTCCTGAAATTCTCAGAAATGGGGGATCAACAACGGGTAGAATTTCTGGCATCACAGAACTCATCTTGTCCTTGCTTCTTTTCCTGTCCCTCCCCTTTTAAAAATATTATAGAAGCCAGGACCAGCAGATGGGGTAATAGTTATGTTGCTGGACTCCCATGTAGTCGACCGCAGTTTGAGTATCAGACCCAGTAGCTTAAGACTCATGCAGGGCGCGTGTGCGTGTGTGCCCAAAATCCCTAGAGGAGAATGAAGGAGAAGGGTTTGTGGCATGTCCATGTCCCCTGGGGAGTGATTTCTCTCTTTCTGTCTCTCTGGTAAGCACTTATACCCTATAGCAAAAGTCTCTCTCTCCCTCTAAAAACAAAGAAATATATATTATATACAAGCCCACTTTTGCCATATGGGTCTTTGATTCTGTTCATCCTGTCTCAGGCTCTCATCCAGGCCTACAGGCCAAGGCCACCACACCTGGCACTTTTTTAGAGTCTCTTTGTGTTGCCAGTGCAGCCTGGAACTCAGATGCTGCTGCGTGGGTCTCCCTAGCCACTGGAATTACAGGCTCTTGCCATTGCACAAGCCTTTAGGTGGACCAGGAATGAACTGGAGCCTCCCATGTGGTTCCTGCTGGCAGAGCACAGGATCTTGGCAGCTGGGCCACCAGCTCGGTCCCTGCTTTCTTTTTCTTCCCTTACAATCACATCCAATCCATTCTCTCTCCCTTTCTCTCTCTCTCTCTCTCTCTCTCTTTTGTTTATTAGAGAGATTTTTGCTATAGGGCACGTGCGCTCACCAGAAAGAGAGAGACAGAGAGACAGAAAGCGAGAAATCACCCCCCAGGGGAGATGGTCACGCCGCAATCCCATCTCCATTCTCTTCTCATGATCTTGGGCACACACGCATACGCATCCAGCGTGAGTTTAAGCCACCGGGTCCAGGACATGAACTGCGGTTGACTACATGGGGGTCCAGCGACATAGCCATTACGCTAACCGCTGGTTCCTCCCTCTCTCTCTTTTACATTTGTTTATCCCATTTTACTTCATTTCCAGTCTTTTTTATTTTTAATATCTTATGTTGAAATAAGTTCAGACTTAGAAAAAAGTTGCAAACATAATACAAAGAGTTGCCATGTACTTTTTACCCAAGCTTCCTCAAATGTTGACACCTTATATAACCATAGTGCAATTATCAAAACCAGGAAGCAAGCACAGATGTAATGCTATTACCTAACCTACAGCCCGTGGCCAGTGATTGCCAATTGTTCCACTGAAGTCCTTTTTTTCTGGGCTGACATCCAACCCCAGATCACTTTGCACTGTGTTGAATGTTCACATCACCTTAGCCTGCAGTCTGGAGCACTACGCAGTTATCTTGTAGACTGTTCCTCAAGTTATTAGCCCTGTTGCTATGGATTGAACTGTGTGCCCGCTCCCCCCCCTCCCCCCCCCCATTCCTATTTTGAAATCCTAACCCCCCATGCCTCAGAATGTGACTACATTTGGAGCTAGGGCCTTTAAAGAGATGGCTAAGTTTAAGTGAGGCCTCTAGGGGGGGCTCTAACCCCATTTGTCTGGTTATAAGAAGAGAATTTGGGATACACCAAGAGACACCACCAGAGTGTTTTTTGTACAGAAAAAAGACCTTGTGAGGACAGTGAGGAGGCAGCTGCTCTATGCCAAGAAGAAAGGCCTCAGAATGAAATCAACCCAGCCAACGCCTTGACCTTGGACTTCTAGCCTCCAGAACTGCAAGAAAATTTTAAGTCACCCAGTCTGCAGTATTTTGTTATGGCAGGAAATTACTACTTGATTTCTTCTATTCTTGGAACTCTTTCTGCTTTTTGCTGTTCTATCAGTAAAATACTGACCTAAAGTAAAAATGGAGGGGCCAGCAAGTGGGATGGTGGTTAAGCTGCTGGGTCCCACATGGCTAACTGTGCAGTTGGGGATCCCAGACCTAGTGGCTTGAGAAAAATGCTGGGAACGTGTGCGTGCATGCCCAAAATCCCAGGAGGAATATGGAGGAGAAGGGATTGTGGTGTGGCCATCCCCCCTGTGGGATGATTTCTCACTTTCCCTCTCTCTCTCTCTCTTCTCTCTCTCTCTGGTGGATGCACACACTCTATGGCAAAATAAATAAATAAATAAAAATCTGTAAACCCCAAATGGATAGGAACAACATTTTTTAAAGATGTTATTTAATTTTATTTATCATTATTTTAAATCTGCTCTAGAGCACATGTGCTCACCAGAGAGAAACAGAGAAAGTAAGCTGCCAGATCCAGTACTCAAACTGAGGTCGGCCAATAGTGGGAGTCCAGGGCCTTAAGTACCACACCACCTGCTGGCCTCGGATAGGAATACCACTTATTGAGAGCCTACTGCATGGGTCAGTTCTCTTTATCAACTTATTACTCCCCGTTGAAACCCAGTGAAGTGAGGGATTAGTAACAATCTGTAGAGGCAGGCAGCCTCCCAAGTTTATGATGGTCTCTACCAAGTAGCTCAACATGTTTACCTAATAGGAACTGAAAGAAAGAGAAATGAATACTTAGAAGGCGTGACGGTTTTACATGTATTGCTGTACACTTGTCTGTCCTTAGAAGCAGCGTAACAAATTCAGTAGCTAAAGGCATTGTTATTCAAGCTAATGCTATAGGCCTTCAAACAAGAGGAGATCCTCTGAGATAAATTAGTTCACTACGGTGACCCTTCATCATCCGCCCTCCAGCAATAATAAGGCAGCAGATTCCTGTGGTATTAATATTCCTGAACAGTGGGGGATGCCTGGAAAACAGAGAGCTGTGCTCAAATGGAAAAGGGGGGTTTCGTTAGGAACCCTTTCAGCAGGGAATAAGTGCTGGTGTGAGAACCGAGCTTCAATTTACAACCAAGGATCACATTAAAAATGCATTAAGACGATTATTATGAAGCCTGTTGTGGCTTTATTATTTCATTTGTATAAATGAATTGGGGCTTAATAAGAACCGCCAAGTGGGGCACAGTGTGTAAAATCTATCTTCTCATGTTAATCCTGCACTTTCTACTGACAAACAAAAGATTGCTGTGCTTCGAAGCCTGTACAACCAACGGGCCTTTCTTCCAATGAGATCGTGAAGCGTCCTGCTAAGGCCACTCCTCAGAGGGCAGCATTGAAGTGCCTGTGCTCCTTGATGCGTGCCTCTGAGGTTCATCTCAGAGTGAGGGCACAGAGCAGGAACCTGAAGCCACTGCCTTCCTCCTTATCCTCCGAAATGAGGCTGGAGGGAGGCTTTCAAGGAAAGGATGTCTAATCCTCCCTCATTCAAGATTTCCTAATCCACTCATCCCTTTAATCCAGTCTTTCTTTTCTTTTTTTTTTTTTAAAGTTTATTTCTTCCGTGAGTCAGAGAGACAGAGGTAGAGGCTCTCCTGACAAGGTCTAGATGCCCCCATCCACCCCCAGCTTCAGCCAGCCTCAGATCATAGGCATGTGCATTCCCAAGTGTACTCAGGAAGGTCTCAGGTTACAAACCCTGAGCCTTCACAGGGTACTCAGGAAGATCTCTGGTTGTAAATTCGGAACATTCCCCGTGTATTCAGGGAGGTCTCTGGTTGCAAACCCAGAACACTTCAGCTTCACTTCATTACTGCTGTACCACATTCAGCCCCAAGTCCGTCATTCTTAATGTCAGCTTAGGAATTTCTCTACCAGTGATCTGAATGGATGGGTCACCTTAGCCTGCAGTCTGGAGCACTACGCAGTTATCTTGTAGACTGTTCCTCAAGTTATTAGCCCTGTTGCTATGGATTGAACTGTGTGCCCGCTCCCCACCCTCCCCCCCCCCATTCCTATTTTGAAACCCTAACACCCCATGCCTCAGAATGTGACTACATTTGGAGCTAGGGCCTTTAAAGAGATGGCTAAGTTTAAGTGAGGCCTCTAGGGGGGGCTCTAACCCCATTTGTCTGGTTATAAGAAGAGAATTTGGGATACACCAAGAGACACCACCAGAGTGTTTTTTGTACAGAAAAAAGACCTTGTGAGGACAGTGAGGAGGCAGCTGCTCTATGCCAAGAAGAAAGGCCTCAGAATGAAATCAACCCAGCCA